ACTCTAATGATATGAATGAAGAGGGCATAAAAGACAATAAATTCATCCTTGGAAGAGTGTTATACTGACAGCTTTGGGATCGTGGCAAATCCTTTCACTCAATGGACCACAGCTTTCTCATTTTTTAAAATGAAAGGGTCAGACAAGCTGTTGGCCATTCTCTCCATTTGACATTTGGGTATAACCAGGAAGGGCAAACCCGTCAGTCACGTAAGGAGAAGGAAGCTCTTCTGACCGGCAAAAGAAGGAATGGTCACAGAGCTGATTCAGTTCTGTTTCCTAAAGAATCCGAAACCGGATGTGGGGTTTTCACGCATTGCTCCTACCAATTTGGCATGCTACGTGATACATTGCCCGGCAGCCAGCAGCCTCTTCCTGGACCATTTCCACATTACTGCCAGGTAGCTTTCTAAAGCACAAACATGTGTGCTTGTGGCTTTATAGACTCCAAATGCACTCCACTGCCCATCAGCTAAAATCCTAGCACATGGTCCACAGGCCTCTCCCGATCTGACCCCAACCCCCTTCCCAGCCCTGCCCCTGTCAGGTCTCTCACAGACCCTGCTCAAGGTCCACTAAACCTTCTGTGTCCCTGTCACAGCACCTTCGGCACCTTTGTACAAGTTTTCCCTTCTGCCTGCCCTAGCCGTCCAGAGAACTGATTCCATAAGGACCAGCAAGTATGTAGCCTCGAGCCCCAAACCTCTGGGCCTTTTCCTCAGCACTTTGTTCCCGTCTCCCAGTGGCAATTACAGAGGCCGTGCCCACCTCTCCATATAAATGAGGAGGCAGCAACTATATTCTAGTCAACTTTGTGCCTGACAGCGCCTCGCCCTATGGGTGGGATTCAAGTAACAATTGGAAATGAGTTATCAGGTGACTAGACCATTGTAGCTGTAAATTGAGGTCCAACCGCAGCTTCCCACACTCAGACTGACCCAAAACACTTGTAAAAAATTATTTCAGAAGGTCAAAAGTAAAATACTACAGCTGAAGACTTATTTAAATAACTGTTTTAAAAATATTCCAGAGGGGGAAAAAAAGCCCTGATCTAGCAATTTCAAAAGGCTACCCTGCAAAATAAAAATCAAGTGCTGCATTGCACTATACCTCCGACCGTGTCTTCTGGCTTACAAGAGATAGATGCGAACAAAGAGTAAAATCCTGCACCCTCCACCTTATTAATATGTAAAAAGGCTGAAGTCACATCTGTGCAAGGATTTTTTTTTTTTTTTTTTTTTTTGCGGTACGCGGGCCTCTCACTGTTGTGGCCTCTCCCGTTGCGGAGCACAGGCTCCAGGACGCGCAGGCTCAGCGGCCATGGCTCACGGGCCCAGCCGCTCCGCGGCATGTGGGATCTTCCTGGACCGGGGCACGAACCCGTGTCCCCTGCATCGGCAGGCGGACTCTCAACCACTGCGCCACCAGGGAAGCCCAGGTTCTATTTTTAGTGGACCTTACATAGTAAAAGCCTAGCCTTGATCTTTTAAACTATCAAGCCTACCATAAATGTTTGATGATGAACAAGCCCATAAAAAGAAAATGCATGAAATGAATTGAGGGAGCCAACGCATGCTCTGCCTTTTAATTACCAGTGGCTTCTGCTCCGATCCTGCTCCAGGCTGGGTGCAGGCAGAGAGGACACATCAATAATTTGGGGAGCAGGGTGTGGGTATTGCAGACAAATGGTTCTAACTACGTTGTGATTTATGCTTTGGAAGCCAAATAGAGATGGAGGAAAGAGGAGCATCCTAGCCCAAAAGGGGGAAATTATGAGATAAATAAAAGCATTCAGGACACAAAAGAGAATGTAGAACAGTCTTGCTTTATTACTTTTAAGTAATAAAGAGCCTTTTCCTTGCCTTTTTGTCTTTTTTTGCCTTCTTTTTTTTTCTTTTTTACAACATACATTAAGTCGTGAATCAGATGTTAGGGGGTGTGGAGATGGAAGGAAAATTGGTGACATCACAATATTTTTACAACTTTACAACAAATATAAATCTGAGTTGGTTGCATCTACCAGTGTCTAGCAAGGGTGGAAAGCAAAGGCACACTCAGGTTTATGGACCCTCTCCTCGCACGCTGTGGGGAGCAAAAGAAAAAGGGAAAATACTTAAATGCAGAAGACCAGCTCAATACCTGTGGGCATTTTAGGGTTAACACCACAAGTGATGGGTTGTGGGATACAGGGACTGGGGTGGAAGTTTGACACAGGACTCTAACACAGCTGAGGCATTGATGCCCGCACAGGGGGACGAGAGAGCAGGTGTTGCACCTCAGTACTCCTGGGAGTGAAGCTTGGGGGAGAAGGTAGCAGGGTGATATATACCCATCACCTTCCTAAGTTCCACATTTCTAAAGAAAATAGAAGGAAGAAGACAATATCTCTGTTCGTAGCAAAGTTTCATGGTTTCAGGGTACAGAGTTCACGGGGTGTGAACATTGATTCCACTAACAAAACAAACAAAACAAAAACATAACACAAAAATAACAAAAACCTATCCCGACCGACAGCAAAACTGCAAGGGGTGTTTGGAATAAAAGGCTGTGCACGTGCCCTTGCGACACACCCAGGTCTCACTCTGTTTATGGAGGCACCACTTTTCACAGCCAATTCAAAATTATCCCCAACTGTCTTTTTTAGAAAGTTTTTTTTTTTTAAGACAAAACTAAACCCAGAAGATCAAACTGGAAATGAAAAACAGACAAAGAGACCACTAAATATACTGTTTAGCTGTTTAAAAAAACCGATAACAACCAACAATGCTCACAGTTTACAGTATGTTGACAATTCTTTTGTTCGTGATAAGAGTAAACAAAAGTCCCTTGTGTGTGCTTGAGCTAATGAAAACCAAGGGGAAAAACACACGCCCACCCCCCTCCCCCTACAAACAATATCCGCAAAAGGATAAAGAAATTAAAAAAAATTAAAAACCTTTTGCCCCAGTCAACGTTTTTGTAGCATCCATTGTGATTGGCCTTGTACTTGGAGTTACTCATTAATCACAGCAGGGACCAGCCTGCCTGCATCTATTTCCATGTCATTTCTTTGTAAGCATTGCACCTGTGTGCTGCGCACATGGCTTGAAGACTCCACCCAGGTGCCTGCCCCACCTCACTGCTGTGTTTTCCAGGCAGTGGACACAGCAGGA